AGATTTCTAACTGGCTTCCCGGAGCTCAAAGCTTCGCCTCCCTGTCCCTCCTGGGGGTTGTTCTTCAGCCCACAATCATGCTGGTTGGAGAGCAGGGGGGCTGGGGGGGTGGGGGGCTGGCTTAAGGTCCAGGAGTCTTTCAGGGCTGGGGGGGCTCAGACAGACAGACGGAGCTAATGAGACCGACTCAGCCGAGGCACTTCCACACTCTTTAAAGCCAGATCCTTGGGGAGGGGGCAGCATAGCCAGCCTGTATTCCCCCTTGCCCTCAAAAGAAACAGCCCTGGGGCGATCCTGCCAGAGGGTGGAAACCAGCTGCTTGCCTGGGTCAAATAAGGCCAAGACTTGGTGGCCAATTTTATCATCAGGCTCGGCCTTACTGGTTTGCCTCTGGGTCTCATTTCAAAGCCCAGACATCTGGATGTCCAGAGCATTTTTCTGGCCCTGAGTTCTCAGCTGGTGTAGCAGGCAGAGCTGGATCTGAGGGCCCCCTCCCTCCCCCTGCTCATCCCATCCCTCAGCAGTTTGGAGTGTACCTGAAAAATGGCAGGCAAAATGGGGTCTTCCAGTTGCCGTGTCTGCCCTTTGGGGTCGCTACAGGAGGCAAAAAGAGAAAACAAATCCTGAAATAATTTTGACTTCTCCCTCTGCTGTATTGAGACGCTCCGATGCAGCCAGTAACTAGGCTTGTTTGCATCTTGTTTTGATATTGCTACATTACATTACAATAAAAATGTTAGCATTATCGCAGATCACCTTGGTGGGTAAGCTGTATTTTAAGCCAATATTTACACACTTGAATTCCTGCTACCCTTCGGGAGTCTTGAAGGCTCCAAAGTGGTCCTGGGCCCAGCCAGCCCCCCCCCCCGATTACCCCCATAGAGAGTCTGGAGGTAAAGGGCACCCACTCCTAGAAGCAGACACGTTCTTGCCCATTTGGCCAGAAGGAAAGTTTTGCCACAATCGGATAAGTTTGATTTATTCTGGACAGATTAAGCAATTAGACAATGATGAATTTCCCCCAAACATTAATGCTGCTAGGACAGACCCATCCTCAGATGAGTCACATCCTGTCAGAAAATAACCTCAGAACAGCCTGACTATAAATAATACTAGTGAGTGATACAAATAAAACAAAACTCATCAATGATTTGTCCACAAAGTTCCTTGGGGATGCCACTAGTCAGTCTATTCAAATAAAAAGAAGAAAAAGCACTGAAAACATTAAAAGGGCAAGAGAGGCTTTGCAGCATTTTTTACAACAAAAGAATTTAAATTTAAATGGAGGTTTTCTAGTTGAACCCTCTGCTCAAGCAAGGGAGCTCAGAAGAGGTGCGTTTGTGTAAAAGCATGCCCACCTTTAGTCAAGATGTTTAAAAGGCAGCCAAAAAATAATGTTTGAGTTTCCATTTGTTTTTGTGAAAGGGGGACCCAGCCTGGCTTCTCTAGGCATTCGGATGTTCTTCCTTGGAAGGAGGAAGAAATGGGGGATATTTTCCCAGGTGAATTTGAGCAGGTTAAGTGGACATTAAAGGCCAGGAGCAGCCAGGCTGAGACAGAGCAAGGTCAGGAGAGGAGCTGAGAGGGACCCTCGCAGTCAAATGCAGCTTTTTTTTTTTGAAAAGGAAGGGGTGGGATGATCCAGCAGCCTCCACCTTTGCTGTGGCTCTGAAAAACATAAGTCTGAGCGCAGCCAGGCCCTGCTTAACAAGCTCGGCCGTTCCAGGATCCCCTTCGCCTTGCCAGCATTTGGTCCAGAGCTGGGAAGTGGGACGTGGCCCAAATCCAATCCCCTCCTTCCCAGCCCTCCGCCAAGAATTGACCCCATTTCTCTCCAGGAGAGGCACAAGGGGCAAGGGAGAAGGTGCTCAAGTTGGGCCCCAGAAAAGTTGGCCACCAACTCTGGCAAGGGATAGAGCACGGAGTCCATGGGTGGCCTCGCCTGATGGCTGAACCTTCCATTCCCCAACTAGGCCAGTAGGCACATCACCCGAGCTCAGCACTGGAGAGGAAGGGACGCACAAAGGTGGAGGAAGGAGACCAGTGAGCAAGGAATAACATTAAAAGAGGATCTGGCTGAAGAATCCGACCTCCCTTGCATTACTTGCAGGACCCTGAACAGGTGGAGGGCTGGAGTGCCTAAGCGTAAGACCCACCTGCTCAAGTGGAGGCTCTTAGTGGATAACCCCACGCTGTGTGAATGCACAGAGACGCAGAGCCCAACCCATCTGTTGGTACATCGGCTACTACCAGAAACGTGTACCAACAATGATACATCAGCTACTACCAGAAATGTGTACCGACAATGACTTATTTTTGGCCAAAGACAAAGCCAAGAAGCCATTTTAGCAGTCTAAAGTTTGATCTGGACACTTGGAAGCAGCAGCAGATGGAGGAGAGCCTTCCTTTGTAAATTAAACTGGCAAGCTGAGGAAGGAAGGAAGGAAGGAAGGAAGGAAGGAAGGAAGGAAGGAAGGAAGGAAGGGAGGGAGGGAGGGAGGGAGGGGGGAGGGAGGGAACATCTGGCTATGAAGCTTTTGGCACCAACATCTCAGAACACTTTTTTGTGTGGCAGTTTAGAATAAGTGGTTCTAAAGTGTCTTCCGTGTTCTTTGACTGTTGGGAGGCCTCTGGGTATCCTTGGTACTTCTCAGCAGGTAACACTTGCTTCACTTTTCCCCAAGCTTGGGTTGAGGGTCACTGCAGATAACACCCCCCCCCCAAGCTTGTTGTAGATTTTGGGGGTAAGAACAGGGAGTTTCCCCCTCTTCTGGATGGCCGTGAGAGCTTCTAAAGAGGCAAGGGCCGAGGAGGAAGGGGGACTCTCCGCCCCATTAAACAGCCACCAAACAGAGCCCCTGGCTGGGATTCCTGTGTTTTTCTCGAGGAGCAGCTGCTTCCGTCCCTCCTTCCCTCCTGGGGGAGGCTGGATGTGTCCAGCCTGGGAGCGCCTCTTCTTAAAGTCAGCTGGAGAAGAGATGCCCAGACTCAGGGCTTGTCTTTGCCTTCAGGGCAGGGAGATACTTGCGGCCGCTCATGCTGCTTTTCCGTAGGAGCCCCTGAGCAAGGCTGAAGGCCACCTTGATGGTTCCCACAAAAGCGGCCATGGGGAATCGGGCCTTCAGAGCCCCAAAGGTGGCTCCCGAGGAGGATGCCAGGAGGGAAAGTCCTGGGCCAGGCTCTCCTTCTGAGAGAGTGACGCAGAAAAAAGTGAGGGTGTGGAGGAGGAGGAGGAGGAGGAGGGAAAAAAGAGGCTCATGAGTTTCCAAAGTCTCTGTGAAGGTGGAGCAGGGCAGGCCCTTAAATGCAGCTGGAGGGAACGGAGGTTGCCAGGGAGCCAGCCTTCTCCAAGCTTGCCTTGTATATGGATTGGAGCAGAGAGGCGCGTCCAGAGGCCGAAGTTGAGGTATTGCTCAGACCTTCTCCGGGTCCTGCCACGTCCTTCCCCAAGGTAGGGGAAGGCTGATCTGTTGGGATTGCAGCTCCCATCCTCCCCAGCCAGCGTGGCTTGGAATGGGTTGGAGAGCCGGGTGTTGAGGAAGGCTGCTCTCAAGGGCAGGTGCCCAGCTGGCAAGTTTTCTCCCTTGGTCGGAGACGGGTCTCTTCGGAAGGAAGGCTTGGCTCCTCCTCCTCCTCCTCCTCCTCTCAGATCAGTCTCTGGGCTTTGGTCCGGGAATGCAAGCCGCCTCTGACTAACTTCCAGCTCTTTCTTTCCCTGAAGGATGACCCTGTCTCAAGGGAAGACAACTCTCCTATGGATATCCCTGCTCGGCCTCTTATCGCTGGCCATTTTCACCTACTTGTGCAGGTAAGAAAGGCACGGCGGCCCGAAATGCCCACTGAATTTACTGTTCTTGCCAGGAAGCTGCCCCACCAACTCCTGTGCCTTATTTGCATTACCCTTTTAAGACTGGCAGCCTCACCAGGGAAGGTCCCCATCCCCCTAATTTTGAGCACAACAAGGAAGAGATGCAAGAATTCCCAGAATTGTTAGCAAATCGGTATTGGGCAATTGAGCACCTGGAACAGTTCACCCTTCACTAGTGTGAGACAAGGAACTCCACAGATTAAGCTGGGAGGATCTGGAGAAACTCGTCTCAGGCATCACACGTGGCCCAGAGCAGGCCCAGGGTGGCTTTTGCTGGAGAGAAGCACAAGGAGGAAGTCGTTACTCAGAAATTCAGTATATTGCACATCAGAACGGCTTTCTGGGGTGATCAAACCTGCGGCTGGCTTGCCACACTTCGACATCTTTGCAGTGGCGTATTGCTCCTGAAGTGTTACATAAAGGTCCACGCACACCCCGCCTAGTTTCAATGTGAAATCTCACACATCCCAGAACATTTGATGTTGCAACTTGTATTCGCTCTGATGTGTGTCCATATTGGAGTGGAGGAACAATTAGAAGTTTCTCTCCTCAGCCAAACGTAAAGGTGGTTTGATTGCAGCTCCCCGTTTATCCAACTCCTTGAACCAAACACCGCCCAGAGGTCACCTGCAGGGGTCGCAGAGGGAACTGCATGTCCAGCAAGGAGCTGAATCCACCAAGGGGATTCGGAGGAGACAGTTGGAGGAAGGGAAGGGGGACGGGGGGGGGGAGGTGAGGTTGTGGAAACAGAGCTGAGTCACATAGCAACTTCAGAGCTGCTTTCCACCCGGAGAAGCTGTTTGTCTTCTCATGCTTGTCTGGGGACCATCCAGATGTCTTGGACCAGAGTTCCCGGGCAGTTCAGCCAAGGACCACGTCAGCTGGGAGTTCTGGAGGCTCCAGGCAATTGGCACATTTGTAGGGCATAGCTGAGAGCTTCCCAGCCCCACCTGGGCGTGGAGACAGTTAGGTGCTTCTGCAGAGCATGTGTTCTGCCCACACACACAGGCGGTCTGCCAGCCAAGCACATGAAGGTGATTGTTGGCTGGAGTTTGCCTGGTACAGGCAGGTGACCTTGAGGTAATTAAAGGTTGTTTGTTCTCCTTTCAACAGGGATGAGAAAGAACCCTGGATGGACAGCAGCAGCAGCCTCCAGTAAGTCCCCTCCTGCTGTTGCTTTTGCTCCCTCCAGTCTGTTTGCGCCACCCAAAATGAGTCAAGGCTCTCCCGATGATGCTTGCCGGGCAGAATAAGGGCATTTTTACCTCGCCAGACTTTAAGAATCAAGGCGCTATTGCTTCAGCCTCAGCCTGGCCCGGCCTTTCTCGCAGCCGCCCTCTGGCGCCCAGGGGCATTCAGCTCATCTCCCCTTTGCTCGTAGCGGCAAAGACCCAGCTCTAGTTATTGGCTGCTCCAGAAGCGAATGGGCAGCGGGGCCTGGATCGGGCCGCTGCATTTTGGCCTGACGGCACGTGGGCCAAGGATCCTTCCACTAGGCATTGCCACAGTGAGGAGAACTCGCAGTCCCAATTCTCCTTGCCTGGACATCCTCCTTACTTAAGAGTGAAAGTGGAGGTGGCAGATGGCCAGTTGCTCCTTATTTGCCTCCAGTGTAGCCACTAACCCCTCTTCCGCTCCCAGAGGGACGGATAGCTTTTGCATGCAAACGACAATCGCTGTGGGCCTTTGCACAACGGGAAAGAGAACCACGGAAGCGCCTTGCTCAATGGCGGGCTTTTAAGCTTGCAAAATGGGCAGTGCGGCTGATGACTGACTCACACAGTAGCACAAGCTAGATGCCAGTGAGGCTGCCTGCCTGCTGTCCTCCCCCACCCACCCCGTGATGCCAGGAAGCCCCCTGTTCTTAGTGGAGGAGCCTGCATAGCCCCCCCTGGCAGCACAGGGGCCTACCTCTTGCCCAGCAGAGGGATCAAACAGACCCCTGGGCAGCCATGCCAGAGTCCAGCCTCCCCTGCGGTATAGTTCAGCTCCTGGTGACCACATTGCGACGTGCCCAAATTGTTTCCTTGGCACCAAATTGTTTCCTTGGTGTGGCGAAGAATAAGAAATCTGCATGTAAGGAACTTGAGCCAAAAGTGACCGGAGAGAAAGCCAGCAGGCCAGGAAGAAAAGCAATGAGTTCAAGAAGAGAGGTGCCTTTGTTTCCAAAAAGAGACACTTGGCTGCCTGGTTGACAGGATCTGATATGGGCTTCCTGGAAGAAGGGGCACACCGGACAGGTCTGTGTGAAAGCCAGTTGTGGCCACAAGCCGGGAGTCTCTCTGCAGAGCTTCTCAGTCATCCAGGTCACGGCTGTCTAAAGGTGCTTTCCCAAAAGACAACTGGAGAACTGAAGAAGCTTCTTGGATGAGAAGTGAAACATTTTCAAGGAAAGGAGAACCCAAGGAAGTCCAGTTGCCTTCTGGGATAGCACCTTTGGGACAACCAGCCAGAACCACGGCCAGACCTTATTCTGGTTACCTTCTCCTTTATTGCAGAGAGGCGTATTCAACCACAGAGGCTGGAGAGATTGCACTGAGCAGCTGGTTTCACCCAAAGTAAGAAGTCTATTTGGACTCAAAAGTGAGATGGAGGGGGGGCAGCTTTCACTGGGCGTCCGCCAGGCTTCCTCTTTTCCTGCCACTGTCCACAGTCAAAAGGTTTTGAGAGACGGGGGCTTTTTCACCCGCAATGGGACACTTCCTGGGGAGCGTTTCAGAGGCTTAGAGCCCCCCCCCAAGGAGCGAAAGCCCAGCACAAGACCGAAAGGAAGCTGCCTCCACCTGCAAAGGCAGAACCGAAGGCTCAGTTGAGCAGGACAGGAGACATTTTGCCCCGGCCCTTCCGCCTGAAGGGTCGAGTACCGGAGCGGTGGCTGCTCAGCTGAAAGAGGCGAGCAGCTTGGCTGACACTCGGATCAGCCTCGCCTGGAACCCCAGCCAGCTGAAAATAGCCTGCTAAAATTAAATGCAGGGAAAGGAAGCTGCGGAACGGCTCCTGCTTTGTTTTGCTTTACATTGAATCCCGGGGAGTAGCTTTCCCAAACATCTGGCTCCAATCACAGTGCTGAAAGGCAAAAAGTTTCCTGCTTCCTGCCACTCCCTGGTAAACCTTTTAACATGAGGGTGGAGAGCTGCAGCCAAGGCCACCCTCCAGCGCTGAGGCTCCCTGGCCTCCTGTCTCCAGTAGGGAAGAACGGGGGACCCCTGCTTCCCCAGCTGCCCCCCCTTTCTGGAAGTCTGCTTCGGAGTGGGTGGGGGGGCTGAGTGAGGGTGAGCTCTCCAGATTCGGCCAAGATGACCAGGGAGTGACCCTCATCGGCCTTCTCTTTCTGTCCCGGGCAGCGCAAGGATAGAAATCACTGCCCTGAGCCCGTGGTCGGCCCCCATCGTGTGGGACGGGACCTTCGAAAGCGCCCCCCTGAACTATCACTACAAGCGGCAGAAGGTCACCGTTGGACTGACCGTTTTCGCCATTGGGAAGTAAGCGCTTCGTCCAGCCAGACCCGGCTCGTTTGGCCGAGGAAGGTCCCCTGAGCATGAGATGAGCAGAGGCCTGTCCAATCTGGGGGGGGGAAGGGAAGGGAGGGGGCTGAGGCTGCCGGACTCCGGTCGTTCTGGCTGGGCTCAGATGGACCGAGGGCAGGGGGTGGCAGCCTGCAGCAACCGGACAAGCCCCTCCCCATCCCTGCTCTGTTTGCCTTTTCCATCCAGGTACCTGGACAAATACCTGAAGGACTTCTTGATTTCTGCAAACACCTTCTTCATGGCCGGCCACAAGGTCATCTTCTATGTCATGGTCAATGACCTCTCCAGAGTGCCCAAGGTCAAGCTGGGCCCGCAGCGGATACTGAAGCTCTTCCACGTCAAGCAGCACAGCCGCTGGCAGGACATCAGCATGATGCGCATGAAGACCATCGGGGAGCTGATCGAAGACTCCGCCCGCTTCGAGGTGGACTTCCTCTTCTGCATGGACGTCGACCAGGTCTTCCGGAGCTTCTACGGGGTGGAGACCCTGGGCAAGTCCGTGGCCCAGCTCCATGCCTGGTTTTACGAGGAGGACAGGAGCACCTTCACCTACGAGAGGCGCCCCGAGTCGGCCGCACACATCCCATACGAGGAGGGAGACTACTACTACCACGGAGCAGTCTTCGGGGGCACCCCTCTGGAGGTCCTGAACCTCACCCGGCAGTGCTACCAGGGCATCCTGCAGGACAAGGAGCGGGGTGTGGAGGCCATCTGGCACGACGAGAGCCACCTCAACAAGTACTTCCTGCTCCACAAGCCCACCAAGCTGCTCTCCCCCGAGTACTGCTGGGATTACAAGATCGGCTGCCCCTTTTACATCCAGAACGTAAAGTTGTCCTGGTTGCCTAAAGAATACGAAGAGGTCAGAGGCAACTCTTGACCTGCCCCACGCCCTTGAACTGACCAACGCTGGCCTGCAGCCAACGCTCCAGATGGATACGTTAACAGCACGGCCGAGCCTCACTCTGTCACCTGCTGCAGAAGAAGAGGGGCAAGCTGGGGGCACAGAGGGGCTGGCAACGGTGAGGAAGAGGGCAGCTGTCTTCTGCCACCGTCTCTGGCCCCTCCTGCCCCCTTCCTTTCTCACAGCATCGGACACAGATTGCTCTGGGCAGTCTTTCTCGGTCCATCTCTGGTTTTGTGAATTTGCGAAGAGAAGTCGGGGACGGAAAGCGAGAGCTGAGTCAGGCTGCACCTCCACACTTATACGCTGGTGCCGGGTGGAAGGCATAAAGAATTCAGGGGGTGGCAGGGTCCGCAGAGGAAGCCCCCGGACCCTCTTTTCAGATCCTTCTGCTATCAGATCTCGTGTTCAGATTCTGGGTGAACCTCCTCAGAGGGGCTCTAGGGAGTCACGCTAAGCCAGTGGGTCAGCGTCTCTCTTTTTCCTCCCCAAAGCTTCGTTTTCCAAAATGGGTTTTTTCCCCTCCTGGGGATTCAAATATGCAGGGGAACGTCCCTTACTCAAAGCACACCTGGGGGATATTTTTTCCTTCTCCCCTACCCCAATAAACAAAGCTCACCAAAGTTGGCAGCCTGGACAAAATAAAATAAAATAAAACAAGACGCAGCTTTTGTTCCTGTGCTGGTACAGAGGACGGAGGGGAGCTTTGTCCCTCTTGCACCTGCCAAGGTGCCCAACTCGCCTTTGTTTGTTGAAGCACCTGCTTGCAGGCTCTCCTTCCGAGCTCATTTGCACAAGCCAAAATTAGCCGTGTTCTGCTGTGCGTGTACTTGACTGCGCACCCCCCTGGGTTGATGGGGGCTGAAATTGGATGTCGGTCCTTCTTCCATTCTTCTCCTTTTGTAGTTTAGAGACAGGCCTTTTCTCACCCTTAGGGGCACAAAGGTTTGGACCGGCCTGCAAGGGGGCGCTGCTTGAGCTTAAGAGGGAGCTCAAATCCTGGGCCTGCCCCACAGACCTCTAAATGCCGCCTGGTGGGCTGCCTCGAGTCCTTTGCCTTGAATAGTCCGGGGTCCGGTTTCAAAACCCTCTGCATCCTGAAAGTTCAATCCAGTTAGTGGCTGGCACAAGGGGCCTCTTCCTGGCCACTCCGTTTTACCACACAAAAATGCACCCATCATCCAGGGAGATTTAATGAACTGGTGTACCTGCGAGCGACAGGCTTCCCTAACTACCTTTAGAAATCAGTGTGTTAGTTAATGTATTGCCTTGTAAATGACAAAACAATAAATTCGAATCTTATTTTGGCAAGCCTGATGAGATGGGGATGAACGGGGAGAATTGTGGCTGGAATTTCACAGCTCTCACCAGGAGGAGGAAGCTGAAATCGAAGCGGTGTTGAAACGCAGCCGAGGGGCGAAGTGAGCCAAAGCTGGCTTCTCTGGTTCTCAGGGAAGACTCCCAGGCACAAGTGTGGGGAGGCCCACGCAACGGAAGGGCAGCAGTTCCTGGCACAGATGCTTCTGGGTCACCATTTTGCAAACTTCCTGACCTCCGAAAGCTGGTCCTGCCACTGACCAGATGTGGGACCATTAATCCAGGGGGAAGCTCCAGGCCCAAGAGGTGGGCTCCGGGGGCGTCTCCTTTGCCTTTTTGCTCAGGGGCCAGACGTCATCCGGAGTTGACTCCTTTGCTCGAAGAGGCATCCGCTGTGAGACTTCAGCAGGAGCCAGTAGCAAAACCGCCTCTAGGATCAAATCCAAGCAAGCCTTTCGTGCTCTCGGAGCACTTCTAGGGCTGGGATTAAAATGGCAGCTGGAGAGTGGCGCCCAGGAAGGGCAGGAAGGAGCCTCCTTGGCCTGGCACTGCATCCACTGACCGAGAGGAGGGGGGGAGCTGGAGGTGCCTGGAGAACGCCTGACTGCCCCCCTCCAGCAGAGGGCTGTGCCAAATGCAGCATAGCTGGTGAAAGGGCACCACCACGTGGCGAGCGCAGGTCTGCCAGCACACCCACTCTGGGCTCCCAGAGACACTTACACACACACACACACAGAGAGAGAGAGAGAGGGGGGGGGAGTGCGCGGGCTGTCACTGTTTAAGGAGTTTCTGGGAAAAGCTCACAGGCTATTTATTGATTTACAAAGAGAGATCCATTTGCAGCCTTGGTCTGGAGAGGGCGCAGCGCTGTCCTCAGCTTCGAAAGGCCGGCCGCCAGCCCCAGGACCTTTCGGAAGGCTATTATGGGATGCACACGGCCTTGGGGGTTCACAAGGATGGACTCAAGTGCTTGCAGTTTGGAATGGGTTCAGGGTCTCTCTGTTCCTGGGGGTTTGGAAGTCCTCTCAAAGCCTTCTCTGTGGGACGAGCTACCCGAGCCTTTTTCCCACATGTGTCTTCCTGGGGACCCCCTGACTCTGTCCCCCTACCTCCTGCTCCCCGTGGCAGAATCGCAATGACTCAGCCCAGCTGGGGTCCCAGGGAAGAGAAGTGGGGAGGGAAGAGAGAGGGGGTGTTCACCAAGCCTTCTTGTGGACCAAGGGGAACTTGGGCGGCTTCAAAAATCGGGGTGCCGCTTGGCTGCTGTTCTGGGACAGGGACTGCCCAGTGAGTGGCGGTTGTGAGGCTGGTACCTGGTACAGGAGAGCCAAGCCAGGCTGCAGGACAGCCCCGCTTTCTGCTCGTTGGCCTCTGCTCAGGATCTGCCTCCCGCATCGTTGAAGAAGCCCAGAAAACTTGGCTGGAAGACAGCACCCCCAAGCAGCTGAGACGTCCAGAGGAACCCCCTCCCCTTCTGCAGGGGTCCTCCCACCTCAGGTGCGCCCAGAGAGCCAGGCTCATCTCCCTCTACAAGGGCACCCCTCTCCGGGCCTTAAACCCCCTTTTCAGGAAGAGGACCGCTTGTTTGCCAGCAACTCCACCCCTTCCCTGGGCAGCCTGGGGCAGGGTGGGCAGGATCTGGAGGACGAGACGGCAGCCTGAGGAGTGAGGACTGAAGGCCACTCGGCCCCCGATGGACTTGGCTGGTGGCTATGGCAGGCATGCAGCTTGGCTCATTGGCCAGAGTCATCTAAATGGGGGGGGGTTGTTTTCTTGCAACAATATTGCTTGGTCCACAAGAATCTGGGCCTCTAGAAACGAGGCGGCAGGGCTGGGGAGGGAGGGAGGGCGCTCCGTCTTCCAATCCACAGGCCTCTGATCTGCCCCAAAGGGCCTGATCCCCTCCTCCTCCCACAGAACCTTCTCTGCTGAGATATACAGCCTGACTCAGTCCACATCCCGCCAGGTGGGTCAACCTGGGGGCTGCTGCTCCTTCGGGAACTCCAGCCGTTCCGCCGTGTCCTCCAGTTCCTCCAGGATCTCGGAGAAGGAGGGGCGTTTGAAGGCTTCCATCTGGGGAGGGGGAAGGGGGGGACAAAAAAATAACGGTGTGCCAAAGGGCAGCTCGAACCCCCAAGCCCTGCCAAAGGCAGCCCACTGTGGGAAATGGCAAACTCCCTTTTCATTACAGATGGCGACGTGCTTTTTCCACCTGCTCTGCAGCCAGAGGCCCCTTCGTGGTGTCTCTTCCTGGGTCTAGAACTCTTAAGGTAGATGGTCCTGAACAGAGAAGCTCTACTACCCAGCACTCTCACCCAGGCCTGCTCAACTGCTGTCTCTGCAACCTGCAAATGCTTCAGAGCTGCTTCGGCTAAAGGGGGGGGGGCAGGTCGCATCGCAAGAGCCTCTTTTGAAGGAAATCCTCACCCTGCAACAGCTGGCAGCCAAATCTAAAACTCGCCTGGGACACTCTCGGATCATGCTGTGGAAGGCAGCCACGTCCAGTCCGTAATCCTGGAGGGAGAGAACGCGGGTGTCAGGAGGGCCTCCCTCTTGCCCCTCCCCCAATCGGCTTCCCCCCTAAACTGCCTTCCCAGAGACGAAGGAAGCAAGGGGGGGGGCCTCGGGAAAGCTCCCAGGAAGGGCAAATGCTTTCCAGCTCAGAGTGGAAAGGGCCATCCTAACCAACCTCAGGGGAGAGGAGGGGGTCCCGGGAGTCACCTGGGTCCGTGGTAGCACCTCGGGGTCGGCGGGAATCCTGCCCAGAATTTCACAGAGGACAATGCCAAAGGAGAAGACATCCACCTGCCGGAGGGAGCTAGGCTCAGCCAGGGGGGCTGTCAACGCTGCAAATACTGTATTTGCCAGTCCCCCAAGCGCCCTGCTCTTCCTCTCCCCGGGGCGCCCCCCAGGCCCAGGCCCAGCCAGCACCCCTGGGGGGAGGGGAGGCAGGCAGGCACCTTCTGGTCGTAAGGTTCTCCCCGCAGCATTTCGGGAGCCATCCAGAAGGCTGAGCCCACCAGCGAGAGCTTCCTCTCCGGACCCTTGGCCGAGAGCTCCGCCACTTCCTTGGCCAGCCCGAAGTCGGTCACCACCGCCTCCCGCCCTCGCTGGGTCACTCGGATGAGGCAGTTCTGGGAAACAGACGGAGGCCCCTTCAATCCCCGTCCAAGCCCCCTGGGAGTTCTGAAGGGGGGGGGAGCACCGGGCTGTGACTGGGCTGGCCCTTGGAGCAGGACAACCACCACAGGTCCGTCCCCTCTTGGCTGGCCCAGTGGCCACAGCCCCCAAACAAGGGGAAAAGAAACCCACCCCAGGACAGCCTTCGGTAGGACTTTCAGGAAGCCTCTACTAGGCTAAGCCAAAGTGCTCGTCCATTCCTGGGACTCGGCAGACCGCCGCTGAGCACGGAGGCTCCTTTGGCCAAAGCTAACGAGGCAGCAGCAGGCCTCTCCTTCCGGGGTGTCTCCTACTCACTTCCTCGGAGACCCCTGGGCAGGCCCCCCCCCCGCAGTTCTGCTGATTCTTTTGGAAAGGAGGTCGAACTGAAAGCCCACCTTGGAGTTGAGGTCGCGGTGATAGATGTTCCTGGAGTGGAGGTAGGCCATCCCGCGGGTGATGTCCGAGGCCAAGTCCACTTTCTCCTTCCAGCCCAGGGAGACGTCTTTGCAGGCCAGCAGCTCTTCTAGGCATCCCCCGTTCACGAACTGAGGGGGTCCCGAAGGGAAGAGGGAACGCTGAGTCGATTCCCTTGGTGGCCGGGATAGACGTTATTCTGCCTTCCACGCAGTGCTTGTGAGTCAAGGCAGCCTTCCCAGCCCCGCAGGCCCATCATCCCCGCCATCATCAACCAGCCTGGCCTCGGCTGAGGAGGATGGGAGTTGTAGCCCAGCCCACCTGGCAAACGCCCCTTTGGGGAAGGCCGGGCTGAACTGCACGCTCCCCCAAGAGGAAGACAACGCAAGGAACCTCCAGGGGCAAACTAGAACATCCTCCCCCGAGCTTCTATATTTCTCAGAGCAGAATTTACCACACTGGGGAGTTCCCTTTTCTTTTTTTAACAGTGAGATGCAGACTCATTTTTTACAATCTCAGTCCTAAAGCACCAAGAGGGATGGTCCAGATGGAGCTATATCGGCCCCCTGATTCCCCACTTTTGGGGGCATGAGGCCAATTGCAAGCCAGATGGATAGATGACACTTATTTATCAAATGAGTGTGTTGCTGCGATCGCAAGATTCTTGGAGACACACAAGAATGCCACAAAATAGCACGACGTGAAAATAAAAGGGATAAAAAAGTCTAAACGCAAAATGGGATGCCAGGCTGCAGAAGCCCCCAGAGAAGCTCAGCTTCGCTTTCTCCAGAGGGCGGACCAATTTCCCACGGGAAGACGTTCCCCAGAGCCGTCCCCACCACTGAAAATCTCTGCTTCCTGTCCGGCACCGAGATCAAGGGGTCCTCCCTTTAAAAGGCAGCCTAGCCTGGATGGCAGCTGCTGTTTGGGCAGGGGAAGATCCCCCCTCTTACCTCCAGAATGGGGTACAGCTTGTCATCCTTCACGCAGATCCCGAGGTACCTTACAAAAAAGGAAAAATCGGGTGATTGCCGAGATGCAAAGTTAGATCAGCCTGAAAAGGGTCAAGGAAGCTGAAAGTACCCACTGCCACGTGGCCCCCAGGGGATCTACTCAGAGACCTACCTGACGATGTTGGGGTGGGAGAGCTTCTGCAGCAAGCTGATCTCGCGCACAATCCCCTCCTGGTCAGCATCGTTCTTGTAAATCTTGACCACCATCTTGACCACCGTGGCCTTCCCCCCAGGACGCGGAACGACCTGCCAGAAGCCCAGGAAGAGGGATGGCACGAGAGCAGGTGACATCCTGCCCAGCAGGAAGGACAGATCCGAAGCCGGCTGCGTCCATCTTTGGGGACGCCCACCCAGATATTCCTCCCGGCACAGCTGCCTCTAACAGGTTCAGGGCTGTCTCTGGAAGATCCGCCCAAATATGACACCGAAACAGAGGGGAAGTTGGCTCGGGAAGGATGCGGCCCAGAGCATGAAGGAAGATCAGTTAAAAAAACCAGAAGGGGGAAAAAAAACAACGTCCTGCTCTTCCCAAGAGATCTCCTGGCGCTCCCTTCTTCCGGGCGCTTCCAGAAAGAAGGAGGCCAGACGGGCTGCCCGTGGCTCCCGGCTCCAATAATTAAGGAGCAGATGGATATCAGGGCAAATCTTCAGCTGCTGTTGGCTCCACGGATTAACGGCTGCAGCAGCCACCATTAATAGCCTCATCCTGCCCGCAGGTGCCTCTAAGCCGCTTGGAATTTACGGCGGCTCCTGCCTCTTCCTGGGGCCAGGAATTCCTCAGGTTAACTACACTCTGCTTGAAACGGGGCATCTTGGAGAAACTGCGTTCGCAGCTGGAAATTGGAGGGCAGAAGACAGACGCAGGACGACTGAGATTCACTTGTATGGTTTATTTCAGACAAGGGTGTCTGGGCAGCTTGCAAGGATTAAAACGCAGAAACACACCCCCCCCCCAACGCAGAAGCCCTGGACCCCAAAGATAAACAGTAAACCAACTCCCAGAAAAAGGACACAGTTGTGCTGTTACGCACAACTGCCCTGTCTGTTGTCGCTTTCTTATCACCCAGGCCAAGCAAAGCTCCGGCTCTTCCCATTCTGGCAAGCTCACTTATTTGTCATCCTGAGCCAACTGTCTTCCCTGTGGGTGGATCCCAATTCCCATCTTTCCCAGCCTGTGGAATGGAAATGATGAGGGCTGAAGTCCAGCACATTTGCATTGGAGAAGGCTCAATGCAACCACGCGTGGGAACCATGCTAAGTACGGATCTGGGATGCTCCAGGGACACGGAACAAAAATGTTGAAGATATTTTTCCTAATGAAACCTGCAGCAGCAGCAGCAGGAGTATTTTATTAAGCTATGAGTAATCTGGAGGAGGAGCGGGGGAAGAGATCCTTTTAGTGAAGCCGTGATCACACCCAATCTTTTAAAGGGATTCAGAGGGATGTTGTAAAGGTTTCTTTCTTGTAAAGCCTTTTAATTGACCGTCAGCCTCATTTAGCTTCTTCTCGGCAGTTGGAGGCTCTCTATCCTCCCCAGCTGCCCTGCGTGGGTCGCCTGCCCGCCACACCCCCCCCCTGCTTAGGAGCAAGATTGATGTTGGCAGCCCGGCCTCTCCAGCTCCATAAAACACCCACTAGGCCATTTCCCGGGCAGGGCGAATGAGGAAGGAGCCTTGGCCAGCACCAAAGCGAAGCGAGCCGCCACTGGGTTACGGCAGCCTTTCTTTTATTGTTTTCCAATAAAAATGCTTTTAAGCTGCTCATTAATTCTCTGCCTTCCTTTTCCTACTCAAGGCGGCAGCGGGCACCGCTACCCTGCTCGAACCATCAAGCATTCCAGTCAAGCTGGCATTCAGACTCACGAAGGGAAAGGTTAATGATGGGCACAACCAGGCGCTCAGTGAGCCACGAAAAGCGTGCGCAGTCATTGTGCCCGCTTTGCCCCAGGAGGAGCCAGGAGGAGGAAGGGGAAGGAGGGGGCCTGAAACGGATGGCCAGACGGGGCTAGGACAGGCCAGCATTCCCCAAGCTTTAAAAAGAAGCCGCCTCGGTTTTGTTGGCTTTGGAAAGCTGGCGCCTTCATTCTGCCCGAGAATCCAGCCACACCAGGCCCAGTGACCCAACAGGCAGCCTCTCTTGTGTCTGGCCCTGTTTTCTCTGGGATGCAAGAGCTGCCCTGTGGGGGAGGGCCAGCCTCAGGGGACTGGAGAGGAGCTGCCAAAGGCTTTGCAGCAACAGGAAGGATCCTTGAACTCGGACCTGCCTTTGTTGTGCCCCAGCCTGGCACCAGGTGCCTCAGCCGCCAGATAAGGAGAGAAAGGTGCTGCCCAGCGGTGGCAGATCCTGGCTCGCTCCTGACGCAACTGCCCCTCACCTCTAGAAAGCTCCAGAAGGTCATCCTGTCAAACTGCAGCAAACCTTCTTGGCTATCAAAGGTTTTGTCCTTCTGCAGGAATCCTACCGACGGTGAGTTAGGGACATGAATAGCCATCCAGAAAGGTCTGGGAAAATAAGGACTGTGGCCAGTTTGCAAATGAACAGGCACCAAGAGGCAGAGGTGAGGATTAGTGGGGGAAGGTGGCAGGGGATAAGCACCCCCGGAAGGAAGCGAACCAGGAGCAGCGGCGTTCTTAGGGCAAGCAGAATGCGTGTCGTTTAAAGGCTAATCTCCCTTTTGAGAAACACCAGCTCTTGATTTTGCCCAAGAGTCCGGCCACGGTCCACCCCTGGCAGGAGACATCTTGGGTCAAGTTCAGTCACCCTGGGGACTCCTGCCTCTTATGTTCTCTGCCTGAAAAAAAGCAACTGCTTTCTCTCCCCCTGAACCCAAGGTATGTCCTGGCACCAAGTGCCCTTGTCTCCGTCTTGAAACAGACTTGGAAAGGGTGACCGTTTGCTCAAAACAAGGGGCATCAGCTGGACTTCTCTGGTTCTCCCCCGTCCCCCATTTTCATAACCTCTTGCCTGATGTGGAGACGATGCTCTCTGCACACTCTCCTGGGCTCTCCTGACGGTCCCTACGCAAGGAATCAACTAGCTACGGAGTGTAAATGTTGAGGCCTGAAAGAGTCCTCTGAATACCGAGAAGCAGGCTTAAGAGATGTAATCTGCTCAGATTGGCTTTGCCCCCCCCCTTCTTCAAACCTTGTAGACCTGCTGCAGCTTCCACTCCCCAACCCCCCCACCTCCCCTGAGAGGAACTACAGCGCAAGGGGCACCCAGGGCAGCCTGGTGGGTGGGCTAGCTCAGCATGCCTGGGTGATGCCATACCTTGAAGACTTTGGAGAAGAAGCCGCTGCCTATCAGCTCCGCCTCAAAGTTTTCCCAGAATTCCAGCTTCCGGACAGCTGTGCGCAGCCTCTGCCACCGGTCATCCTCTGGGCAGTAAGCGTCAGGGGTCTCCTCGCAGCACGGGGTCGAGCCAGACAAATCCGGAGGCGCCGGACCCACCTTGTACATTGTAAAGGCAGGCACTGCAAAGTGAAAGAAAGGAGAGTTTCCTGTCTCAGCCCCTTCCGAGGCGAGGCTGAGCGTCCGTCTCCATTTCACAGCTAGCCAGAAGAGGCACCACTGGGAGGAACTGGGGCTGAGTGGTTTTCCAGCTCAAGGGCTCTCTGGCTTCTCTCTGCCCAGAGCAGAGATGCCCTCAGATCAAGCCGGAGCTGCTCTGGTATTGAAGAGGGTGCTCAAGACTCCTTTGGGACTCTCCCGCCAGGAAGAAGCTCACACGAAGGGCCACACTTGGCTGCTAAGGCCCGTTCTCTCCCCCTCTCTGCTCTGGCTGAGCCACCCAGGTGCTAAAGCCACGGGTGTGGGTCTCGCAGGACCCCCGACCAGACCCAGGTTCATGCCTCGCATTTTGGGCCTTCCCCATGTTCAGTCCCTTGCCGTCTGGGGCAGCCCCTCCACGGACCTTCTGAGCAGGGCAGCATCTGCAGCAGGCCCTCCTTCCTGGCATCCGAGGCGGAGCTGCCGACTCCCCCGGCACCAGGCTGGATGGGCAGGCTCTGAGAGGAGGCAGCCTCTGTTGCAGAGACCCAGACGGAAGGAGGAAGTTCTTTCTGGAGACTGGTTTTACTACATGGCAGTTCTGGCCTCTTCTTTTAAGACACAGACTGCTAGCAAAATGGGGCCATTGTCCCTCTGACAAAAACAGGCCTGTTGAGGAGGGAGGCTGCAGCCTCCAGTTTCCCAGGCTGTACACAACAACACAGCAGGAATGCACTTGTGGCACCCGGACGGTTCAAATCTGCTCTCACGTGCCTCTGCTTCGCACTTTACAAATTCTAGCTCTGACCGTCTCCCCCACTCCATTCCTTTTGAGCTCCACAAAACGTTTATCTGCAATGAGTTCATTTTTGCAGAGGGCAAGCACAACTCTCTCCTTCCAAACCTGTAATCTGATACCGGGCACAACATTCAGCCGCTTGGGAGAAACACTTTCCATACAGAGAAGCCGCAGTTTCTGTTCATGGACACGTGAGCCTCTGTCTCAAACCGATAACTCCAGCATTATTTCTGATAAGTTTTCTTTTTGAGATTCCAGGCCACTGACCGCCTTCGGCTTGATTTGGTGGATGTTTTGTTTTTAAAGAACTTGGACTGAACCTTGTGGCATTTGGAAAAACAAATCAGGTACAGAACAGGCTGGTGCACAGAAAAATAGCAGCCTCACTTTGAAAATCAGAAAAGACAAAAATAAATTAAAAGTAAACAAGGATGCAGCTGTTGCTATTATTTGCCAGCATTGCAGCTTCAGTCTAAAGCAGATGGTCTTGCTGGACCCAAGAATTTGACCCACTGCAAGGCTATGACTGCGGGAGCCATAGGACACTCGACTCCTGAGGCCTGCCACAGAAAGGACACAACAGCCACGGCTCAGTGGCAGGACAGAGGTCCTGAGGCCCAGGCTGATGGAGGTGAGGCAAGGACTGGATACAGACCACACTGAATTTTCTTTGAGGGGTTCTTAATACTCTCTGAACTTGGTTGTTTTCATTAGCCAACTAGGTAACATCACCAGTGCTAGAAGGAGCATTTGCAGCAAGCCCCACCAGCCTGATGATGTTAGCTACTTTGGGCCATGAAACGTCTGCCAGAGAACAGCCGAGCTCAGAGAGCACCAAGGAGCCTCCGTTCAACCGTGAGCTACAAATATTCCCCTTTATTGAATTTTCTTTCCTTGAATTACAGAGAGCAGGCGGGCAGAGCGTCTCCAGATACTCCTCGCCAGAGAGGCTGTGTGGGCTTCTCACACTATTCCCCCCCCTTCTGCTGCGGATCTCATTGAGAGCGAAAGCAGAGGTGGTGCGGATGCCCAGAGCCCTGCAGTGGCAGATCAATGCCAGTTCCATTAGGCAGAAATAGCTGACGGGGCATTCCTGGCAGGGACAGGCCTGGTCTGCTCTCCAGAGCTACTGGAAAGCTCAGCTGATAGGATTGGGGAGGGGGGAGTAGTTTCAAGAGCCTTTTGTTCCAAGGCTTTCTGGAATCCGTAGAGGAGTCGGTGGCCGGTTGCTAGGAAACAGGAGCCGTTCCTGCCCAGGTTGACTCCTGCTCTGGATCTGGAGGCCAGGAAGGGAGCCCAGAGGCTATCAAGTCTAGCCCTCCAAGGAGAAGGCAAGGGTGTCCAGCCATACAGAAGCCATGATCCCAGGGAACTCTGCCTCAGAGAGAAGGACCAAGTATGGCAGGAAAGCATTCAACTAAAGGGATAGCCCAGTTGCAGGCAACTCGCATAAATGAGTCAAGCCGTTGTTGTTGTTGTTGTTAATTGCGAAGTCGTGTCCGACCCATCGCAACCCCATGGATAACATTCCTCCAGGTCTTCCTGTCCTCTACCATCTTCTGGAGTCCATTTAAGTTCACGCCTACTGCTTCAGTGACTCCATCCAGCCACTTCATTCTCTGTCGCCCCCTTCTTCTATTGCTCTCAGTCTTTCCCAGCATCAGGTTCTTCTCCAGTGAGTCCTTCCTTCTCATTAGGTGGCCAAAGTATTTGAGTCAAGCCGTATTCCTTGGCAAAAGTCTGGCTCCAAATATTTGTACCAGTTTTGCTCAATCCAGAGACTTTCAGTTGCATTTCTTCCCTGAATCCCAGTCTTCATATTCTCTGCGTAGGACACCACATTCCCAGATCCAGTCTCTTGACTCCGAAGCACAAGACAGGCCCATGAACTCCGGAATGGGCAGACCTCCAGGACCACCAGCGTCCCCGACCTCGCTGCACCCAGGGAAATCTGCATTCCTGCCACTAATCCCCAGGCGCTGCGAGGTTTTCCTTCTCAATCCACACCAGCTAAGACCTTGGCCAGCCGAACAAGACTTGGCAACACAAATCCTGCCTCCACCTGACAAGTCACGTACCCAGCCCCACCTGGGCTGGTACTCACCAGGCAAAGATCTGGGTCAAAGGATGTTGAGCTGCTGGATTTCTCATAAACACAAGCTAAGAGCAAAAACTACAGAAGACAACTCATCTGGCAAGAGGCTTTTGGGGGGAAAGGCGGTTTAACCGAGAACTCTGGTTAAGTCAGACGGAGCGTAATTATAGCTGTGAAGCAGCACCAACCAACGTGGCATGTTCCTCCCCAGAAAACACAGCAAGGGGAGAATTCGCCCTCTCCCTTTCCAGGGGAGGGGAGGGGAGGAGAGGGGGCAGCCGGCCCTCCCCCTCCCCAAAATCTCTCAGGGTTGCCTGAATTAAAAGATGGGAGCCAGATCTCCCTCCCAGGGCTCAGGCGGACGGGAGGGCTCCTTCACTCCTTCACTCCCCGGCCTGTCCTGGGGGCCACAGCAGGAGGACCCGCCGAGCTCCCGCCGGGCAAAGCAAAGCAACCTGCGCCGGGGGAGGGGGGGGATCGACAGGTGGCCCCTGGGCGCCGAAGGAGGCAAGCCGGGCAGAGGGCATCGGCCTCGCCCGCCGCCCTGCCAGGCAGCGGAGAGTTTTCACGGGGGGGGCCGCTTTCCTCTTTGGGTCACCCCCGCGGGTGGGTGGTGGTCGCGGGGGGGCTGAGCCAGGCTGAGCCCTGGGAGCCAGGCGGCCGCCTCCTTCGGGGACCTTTCGGGGCGCCCTCGGGGCTCGGGGGGGCAGCGGGAGACCCCGGCCCAGGGGATGGGGGGGGTGCTGGCTCGCCCGGTACCTCCGCCGCCGCCGCCGCCGCCCACTCCCCCCCCGTAGGCACCGGGCAGGGCCGGCCGGGCGCGCACTCACCGCCGCCTCCTCCTCCTCCTCCTCCTCCGTGCCGAGCCGAGCCGCGGGGCACACAGAGACCGCGCCGCCTCCGCGCAGCTCCCGCCTCCGCCTGGCCGGGCCCGGCGCCACCCAGCGGGCGGGCGGGGAAGGGAGGCCGCCGCGACCCCCGGCCGCGCATCAGGGGACCCCGGCAGCCTCCCCTCCCCCTCCGCCTCCCCCTCAGGCACGGCCGGGGCCCGGAGTCTCGGGGGGAGGGGTCTGGGCGCCCCCGGAGCGCTCCTGAGGGCCGGCCGCGGAGCATGTGCAGAGGGCGCCCACCCGCTCGCCCGGGAGGGGGGTCTGTGGGGCGGGAGGGGGAGAGCCGAGGCGGCGGGGCGGGGGGCTTCCTCAGCCGGACCCCCCCCTCGACCCTCTCGGGCGCCCGGCGGGCAGCGCGGGAATTGCCTCACGCCCGAGGATGGCGGCACTTCGGTCACCATGGCGACGGATGGCGCCCTGCCTCCCGGGGGCCCACGTGACTTCAGCGCACGTGACCGGCCATCCCTCGGCCACGTGACTGGCGGAGGCGAAGCGGCGGAGACATGGAAGCGAGCCCGGCGGGACCCCCGCGCCCCTCCCTCCCCCTCCTCCCCCTCCTCCTCCTGCTGGGGCTGCTGGGGCTGGGGGCGGCAGGTGAGGGTCTCCGCTGCAAGTCCCGCCTGCGCCGTCCCGGGCGGGGGGCTGCGGTGGGGCGGGGGCCGCGCTTGCTAACGCCGCCCGGTCTTCCCCGCAGCCCGCAGCGGCGCCCAGCCGGCCTTCCAGGAGCGCTTCTTCCGGCAGCGGCTGGACCACTTCAACTTCCAGGCCTGCCGCAACCGGACCTTCCTCCAGCGGTACCTGGTCACAGGTGAGGCGGGGGGGCGGGCGCCTGAGTGGGGAGACTCCTTTTGCAACCGCAGGTGGTTGCTGAGTGAAGCGGTCCCTACGTGAAGTTGTGACTGTGCTCGTGGTCAAGCTGCCCTTTGCTTGACAGACATGCAAAGGTCATAAAAGTGAGGACCGACCGCCTAACGACTTTTCCAGCACCATTGTAACTGCAAACGGTTGCTAAATGAGGCAGTTACTAAACGAGGGCTGACTGTGTTTTCCCCTCGCCGCTGTGTCCCGCAGATGAGTTCTGGAGGCCGGGGGCCGGCCCCATCTTCTTCTACACAGGGAACGAAGGGAACGTCTGGACCTTCGCCCTCAACACCGGCTTCCTGCTGGAGCTGGCAGAGCAGCAGGGGGCCCTGGTGGTCTTTGCCGAGCACGTAAGTGGGGCTGCTGCCGGCTCCGGGCAGGTCCACATCTCGGGTGCCGCCGGGGCACCGTATCCTCACTGGCTCACCTTTTCTCCTGGCTTGTTTTAGAGGTATTACGGGAAATCGCTTCCGTTTGGAGCAGAGTCCCTGAAGGGGCAAAACGCTGGGCTGCTGAGCGTGGAGCAAGCCCTGGCCGACTACGCGGTTCTCATTGTGTGGCTGAAGGAGCAGCACCAGGCGCAGAACTCGCCCGTCATTGCCTTCGGGGGCAGGTGAGGGCTGCTTCCTACCTAGCAAAATAGCGGGTGCCCCGTGCACCAGCTGCACATTTTTAGAGCGCCAAAGATCCCGATGAGGCTGTGGTCCCTTCCTCCTTCCAATGAGGCCAAAATTCTCTGCTTCCTCTCCAGGAAAATAACCGCCTTCTCACTATCCCTCTTCACAGTTACGGAGGGATGCTCAGCGCCTACATGAGACTGAAGTACCCCAACCTGGTGGCCGGGGCCCTTGCGGCCAGCGCCCCCGTGCTGTCCACCGCGGGGATTGGAGACCCTGGCCAGTTCTTCAAGGACGTCACGGCAGTAAGAAAAGGCGGCTTGATTGGGTGCCCTTTTTTCTACTAAGCGAAACGCATCACACACACACACCCAGTGAATCTGAAATAATCCCATTAGCTTTCTGACTCAATGAGGGAATTTTGTCTCTTTCTTCCAGGACTTTGAGAACTACAGTCCAGAGTGTGCCAAAGCTGTCCGAGAAGCATTCCGACAAATCAAAGACCTCAGCCTGGTTGGAGGTGAAGGAAGGAGCCCTGAATAGGGGCGAACGGCCCTTGGGACAGTCACTTTTTAGGGTGTGAAGTTGTGGGCAGTTTTGCTGCCCTGCACTTGGCCAGAATGGTTTAAACCCCAAATGCAGTTTATTTCACAGGTCGAGGATGCCGATTGCGGCACCCTTAAACTCGAACGCGTCTCTCTCTTGTGTTAAGCTTATGGGAGAATCAGCACGGAGATGGCGCTCTGCCACCGGCTTTCGACTGAAGAGGACGTCAAGCAGCTCTTTGGGTTTGCCCGGAATGCCTTCACCATGATGGCGATGATGGATTATCCTTACAAGACCGACTTTATGGGCCACTTTCCAGCAAACCCCGTCAAGGTAAGTAAAGGCTTGGCCTTCTTCAGCTGTAGGGCAGCTCCGTCCCTCAGGATACCCAGCTTGGCAAAAATAACCCCCGTTTTGTGGTGGTGTCTCTTTAATGCCGATATTGTAATTTGCAAAAATACAGTTGCAAGCTCTCCACACCCAAACCCTTTCACGTGCCTTTGCCCAGGGCTGGTATGTTTGCCAAAGGGTAACCAAACATCGCCCCTCGCTCGTTCGCTCTTTCCAGAGAAAAACCAGTTAAGTGAGACACCCCCCCCCCCAAATGGAGGTATTAACAGGCCTCTGCAAGACAGAGCTAGAGAGAAATTTTGGCCCTGTGGCTTTTTTTCCCTTTTCATGACTTCTGTTACAGACGGTATAAGCACTTTGGGATTTGGGGCAGAAAGCATAAGATTAGTAGCAATGGCGTTACAACATGTTTTTAAGCTGGGATGAAACCCCAAACTGGCTAGAAAATAGATTATATTGGGTCAGCCGGCAGGTAGCCAAACTTGCTTTCTGCTTTTTTTTTGGGGGGGGGGAATGCAGATGTGCTCAATTGCTCTTGAAGGGGAGGGGGTGTTGAGAAACTGAGCCTGGGTGTGTCTGTTCATTCAGGTTGGCTGTGAACTGATGTTGGCCAGTAAGGATCCCATCCGAGGGCTGGCAGCTCTTTCTGGTGAGTCCATGCTCTGTTTCATTCCGCAAATGCTGCCTTTCTCCAGGGTGGGGCTCAGACAGAATCACTGCCAGTTCATGTCCCTGAGGGTCACCCCAGGAAAAGCCCAAACTGCTTTGATCCAGCTATTTCCCCCTGCCGTCCGAAGGCTCCTCTCTCTCAGCTCCTCCTGGGCCTGCCATCCAGGGCGGCAGGTGAACGAAGCAGCAGGCGTGATCTGCCAGAGCCCGGGGCAGACAGCCCACCTTTACCCAGGTTCCCCTGCTAGGATGGCAGGCCCAGATGCCGTCCTCTTTGCTCCTCCGCCGCAGAGACCCCCCGCCCGTGACGTAGAGCTGAAGCTGGCTGGTGGTGAGGCTGAAGTGGCAGAGGTCGACGGCCGACAGACGGAGCCGGGCCCACCGATCAGTGACGGGGCAATAGTACTCCGCCTCGCTCACAGGGACCCACTCCTGGCCCTGCAAAGAATCAAAGCGTAGGGCAGAACCAGGGGGCATGGCAAAGAGCGCCCAGCTGGGCCTCGGGGAGTCCCGGGAGCCCACACGGGAGGGAGCAAATGCCACCTACGTTGGCCAGGGCTCTTCCTCCCAGGCAGAAGATGCGGTCTCCCACCGTTGCCATCCCGTGATCGCAGCGGGCAAAGGCCATCGGCCGGTTCCTGACCCAGCAGCGCAGGCGGGGGAGGTAGCTCTGCATGGCGCTCAGGGTCTGGCCCTGCGCGAAGCCCCCTGTGCCGGAGAAAAGGGTGGGTGCTCCTTCCTCTGCCACTGGCCCCTGGGGACACAGGCTGCTCTCGGCCTGGAAAGCGGGCGGCCCCAAACCCGGGGGCTTCTCGCTCCAGGGGGGCCAGTGCCAGCCGCTCCTTGCCCAGAAAGAGACCCTTTCGCACCTGAGATGTACAAGATGCCTCCGTGAGTCGCCCCCGCATGGTCAGCCACCGGCACCGGAAAGGGCGTGAGGGGCCGCCACGCGTTCTTGGCAAGGCGGTACTCCTCAGCCATGTCGGTCGGCATCCCCAGCAGCGCTCCACCCCCCACAGCCACCAGTCGCTCGTTCAGCACCCCGGCGTAGAAGCGGGTCCTGGGCACCAGCATGCTCGCCAGCTGCAGCCAGGTGTTGCGGCAAGGGTCGAACCTGAACACCTGGAGTTGGAGGAGGGAAAGGCCAGTGGCTGCCCCAGGTCTCAGCTGCCCACCTCTCCATTTGGGAAGATGGAAAACAGCCTCGCCACCAGGAACTCTATAATGATGCCAATGGAGAAACTCCGCTGGCCTCTTACTCTGGAGGAAGGCCAAGCCACCAGCTCTGGCCCTTGGGGCAGTCCTTACCTTCTTGGAAGGCTCCTGGCCTGTCGGATCAAAGCTCTCCTGCCCACCCATCACGAAGACAAAGCCGTGGAGGACGGCCACGCAGTGATTGTACACGGGCCCACGCAGCTTCCCGAGGGCCGTCCATGAATGGCCGTGCTGCTCAACAGCAGCCCAGATGTCCCCGCAGACGGCATTGTCTGCCGATCTTCCCCCCAGCACCATCAGCACCTCGTTCCTATGGCGCACCCGAGTGCGCTCGCTCTGCAGAAGCGGCTGCAGGTACGGCTGGCCGTGGTAGTCCAGGCCTTCCCGGAGGTATCGGCGGCAAGCAGGCTCAGTTTTCATGATGGCTATTTCCTGGACGAAGCGCTGCAGATCTGGGAGCGGTATAAAGGGAAAGCGTATGTGGCCCAGGACCTCGGCTGCCTCTCCCGGCCGGGTGCCGTTGTGGTCCAGCCAGCAAATGGCTGCCCGAAAGAGCTCCAGTTCGGTCAGCCCCCGGGTGTCCCCTCCGTCCAGGATGTCGCACAGGGTCGCCCTGTCCAGCTCCTTCAGCTGCGCAGGGTCCCTCAGGATGTGGCCGCAGTGCTTGCTCACCCAACGCTGCACCTTCAGCCTCAGTTCTTCGGGGCCGAGCCGTCGAGCGAGGCGGAGGATGGGCAGGCAGGAGTGCCGGTCCAGGGCTCCTTCCAGGAAGCGGAAGACCAGGCGCATCACCTCGCGCACCAGCAGTGCCTCGGCCGCCCGGAAGACCTCCTCGACCGTCTGCAGGGTCAGCTCCAGCCGGTTGGAGTAAAGGAAAGACAAGACGCCCTGCAGGCCCCGGGCAGTGACTGGCAGGGCCAGCTTGAGCGGGCTTCCCTGGCCGGCCGGCTCCCTGGCAAAGCGCATCCTGCAATAGCTGCTGCCCACGGCAAGGAGGGCTCTGTGGGCGGGGAACGAGGCCCCCTCGGCCTCCAGCACCACGTCGCACAGGGCATTCTGGGAACGCAGGTTCTGGAGCCCCTCTAGGAGTTTAGGCAGGTAGGTGTCCGAGCTGAGACTCTGGCCTTGCGTCTCTCCAGAAGCCATCGCCCAGGTGTCGGCCAGAAGCGGCCCTTTTCCTACCCCAGAAGACTCTGGAGCTCCCCCCTGCCCATTGGAAGCCCCTCTGGGGTTTCTGCTTCTCTGGGCTCAGCCGGTGGGATGGCCGGTCTTGCTAGCTGTGCTTCCCTCTTGTTTTTCTGGGCTGCCAGGAGAAGCAGGTCAGCTGATCCCTCGTCTCCAAGACAGCAACAGCCGATCTCCTCCCCTCCCCTCCCCTTGGTTGCTACCCACCAAGGTGTGGTGGATCCTCTGTTTCCTGGTCTGGCCAAAATGGGGGGAAAGGCAAGTCCAGGCTTGCCCCCTGCTTTTCAGATGGGGAGGGGAGGAGAGGGGGCTGCTCCCCCTGGACTTCCTCTGCCGTCTTTGGCCAGGAGGCAGCAGGGGAGGAAAATCTTGGCTTCCTGCTGCTGTTCCTAGGATTTATACCTTGGCTGAGCAGAAAGAAGCTCAGCAAGGGATGTTTTCCACTTCTTTGCCCAGCCTCCAGCAGGAGTTGCTTTCTAACATAAAAAAAATCAGAGCTCCTCCTTGTACCTCCAGAGAACGTCTTCCTTCCCTCTGCCCTGACTCGCATGCTGAAGCCTTAAGCCTTTTTGGGCACTTCAGCTTTTCCTCCAAGGGGCTGGTGGTGTTCCTGCTTCGTGGCTATCTTAGCTCCGTGTCTCCCAAGGAATTTTAATCGGAGACTTTGGAAGCAAGATGGAGCCTTCAGCCTTTCCTCTCAAGGGGCTTGGTGGGCCCACCCAGACGATTTAGGCTTAAGGGAGCGAAACCGCCCCCCCCCTCTGCCCCAGCCTTGCCTCGGTCTCTTTTGAGCACCTAGAGTGGACTCAGCCTCCTCTTCTTGCTCTACCAGGAGTATTTTACAACTCCACGGGGATGGAAATGTGTTTTGACATTTACCAGCTGTACCAGAAATGCTCCGATCCAACCGGCTGTGGCACCGGCCCCGATGCTGAGGCCTGGGATTATCAGGTACGTTGTGGGAAGAGCTGTCTCACCTGGGCTGGCCAGGAATGGAGGCGACTGCAACGGTGCCGGGTGGGGATGATGGTGTGAAGCTGCCATTGAGGGCATCAAGGCATTAGATGAGGAGGAGGAGGAGGATGCAACGAAGAAACATTTTCCAAGTCTGTGGACTTTTTATTTGCTGTTTGAGCAGGGTTTTCCAAACATCTTTGCAAAGTGGAACGCTTCTTGCTGTGGGTCTCCCATTCCCACGTGGAGGAGCCAGCTTCTCCCGCACAGAGTGCTGCAGATCCCGGGGTGCTCAGGGTGCTGACGCAGGCTAGGCATGGCCCACCCATTCACCCCAGGTCAGGATGGGAGCCGGGCGCCTGCTTTTTCTGGCAGCGAGACTCTCCTCTGTTCCAGGCCTGCACAGAGATCAACTTAACGTTCGACAGCAACAACGTGACCGACATGTTTCCGGAGCTGCCCTTCACCGAGGCTGCCCGGGAAGACTACTGCTTCCACAAGTGGGGGGTCTGGCCCCGGCCATCCTGGTTGCGGACTAACTTTTGGGGCAGCGGTGAGCAGCACCCTGTTTAGCTCATCTCTCTTAGACTTCGGCTTGCGATTGGGGGGGGGGGCTCCCAAAGGGCCCCACTTGCTCTTTGTGGTCTGCGGGAGGAGGACACAGCTGCCTCCTGTGGGCTGCTTGGGGTCTTGAAGCGCAGCAGAATGTGGTCCCAGATTCACGGGGACAAGGAGGCCTCCTGTCCTCTGGGCCCCTTTGTGAGGATACGGCCTGCTGTGGAATCCTGAAGCTTTCCTTCCAAGGCTGGGACGTCCTCTGGGCCTGGCTGGTTAAAGCCATTTTGCTGAGAAAAGCCTTTGCAGAGCCACTGAATGGTTTAAGGCGGGCACTCTTCTCCTGACCCCCCCCACCACCTGAGCTTCCCCACTGGCTCACAGGCACCTGGGGGGCTTTGGGGGCTTTATCCTTCAAACCTATTCATAACCTTGCTGCCCTTTTGACAACTGTAGATCTGGCTGCTGCGAGCAACATCATCTTTTCCAATGGAGATTTGGACCCGTGGGCATCAGGCGGCGTAAGTACCTGCTCAGCGTTCCTGGGATCTGCTCAGATCTACCTGGACCCGTTACCTGATGTCTCTCCCCCCCCACACACACAGAAAGTCTGACTCTCAGGTGTTGCCTTTCCCAGGTGCGGAAGAACCTGAGCTCCTCCCTGACTGCCATCTCCATCAAAGGAGGCGCCCACCACCTCGATCTCCGGTAGGTTTGGCCAGGTGGGCTCCCGGTGGCTTCTCCCCTCAAGAGGGGTCCTCGGATTGCACCCTTCTGGCGAGGGTCTCTGCTTGCCCTGATTCATCGGCCCTCTGGGTTCTGAAAAACAAGCTTCCACTCGTTTTAAATGTTTCAGAAAGAGGAGGCACGGCGATGGTGTTTCCCTGAAAGAGCAAGCAAATACACCTTAAAGGCCCCTTGTAACTACCTAGCTGGAGCTGTTTGCCCTCTGACAAGCACCAGGGATGGTCCACTTCACTGGGCCTTTTTTTCCCCCCCAACAGGAGCTCCGACCCAGCTGATCCCGCCTCGGCCAGGGAAGCTCGGCTGCAGGAAGCCAGGATCATCCGGGGCTGGGTGGAGGCAGCCACCATCAAGGCCACCAAGTAGTGCCTGAGTTGCCAGCCGGTGTCTAAGAGAAGCCCTCCCCCCCCCCACCGCTGGGCACAAAGGGAGGGAAACTGGCGTGTCCTCTTTAAAGCAGTGACTCTCATGCCATGGTGTGAAGAATAAGGAATAAAGCTCCTTCCAGAGGATCTTCCTGGGTCCCTGGAGGCTGGAATGAAAGGGGCCTTTTGTTCGCCTCTTTCTGAGAAAGGGTCTGGCAATTGGGGGAGGGGAGGGGAAGAGCTCAAGCACAGTGCTTAGATGCATTGAGATTGGTCATTCTAAGCAACAGGGGTGCTACCCTAGACCTTCGGACCATCTAGCCAGGGCCTCACCCACGGGGGGGGGGAAACCCAGAGGACCCCCACCCCAGGGAAAAATGCTTCTTTCCCTTGCCGGCTTGGTTTCCCTCTGGAGACCCTACAGACGGGAGTTCTCCCCCTGTGCTCTGCCACTGTCGAGGGAGGATGTGCCTGCCACAGGGCTTGAACCCAGGGCCAGTTCCACTTTTCCTTCAACCTCTCATGCAAAAGCCAGCTCAGCCCGTGTCTGGCAGGACAGATAAACATATAAGCAGTCGGTGGCACAGAAAAATGCAGCCTTTCAAAATAAATTGGAAAGTTTATTAAGGTGGAGTAGAGTTTCTGCAGACTAACTTCCCAGCCAAAACCACTTGAGGTTCTCTTTCAGAGATTTTTCCCACCTCCACAAAAAGGTGAGTCGCACTTTGAACCATTTGCACGTTCACAAAAGAATCAATTCTACTTTACAAATGCCTTGGACCAGATCACACCAAGGAGGTTTTGGCAAGCAGGTCTCTCCTTGGGAGAAAAAAAAAGGTAATTTGAAAGTAATTATGCAGAGGGAAGGATGGGAGCACACAGGTGCTCTCCTTCCCTACCGAGTTTGGCAGCCACAATCCTGCCCTCACGTCGGGTCCGTTTACCGCCTGTGGTGCCTGACCGTTTAAGACTCTTGTCATCTGCTCTTAAGACGTGAGATGAGCTGGCCATGATAAGACAGCAAAGAAATCACAAGGAACGTGTCCCAGTTTGGCTGATGAAAACGGAGCTCCGTTTTCCTGACGTGGTAAATTTCTCTTGAAATTTCCAAAATTAGGACGACATCCCAGCCTCCGTGGGGAACACGAGGCAAGTGGAAATTCAGGGCTGAACACAGGTAAAGAAAACAGCAAACCAATCCTGCCCTTGGGGGTTGCGAGGGGCGTTCGGCATCTAACTCTGAGAAGGATCCGGAACCAAACCTCTTAGGTGGCCCGTTTAAAGAGAGGCTCGGAGAACTGCAGGTTGTGGGTCTGCAGCCCGGCTCTGGACTTCGTGTGCCGGAAGAAATGCTCCCTTCTGGGGACCTGCCAACCCTTCTCTCTCTCCCCTTGAAATCGGAAGGCACCAGTTCAAAGTAAAGTGTCAGCCTCCCAAAACTGGGGATGTACAGTATGGCTTTTAAATTCCAGGGTCTGTTTAAATGGGGGAACAGAAAGCTACCTAACAGTGCCTTGCAAGCACCCCTCGAAAACCGGGACTGCTCCCCCCCAAAAAAATTCAGGTGGGACCTTGTGGCTACAACAGCAAACACCCATGTCCCTTAAAAGGAACGTGGCGATGGTGAAGTCCTGCAGAGGTCCACAGTTACAGTGAGAAGATTGGAAAGAAATCTCTCTCGTTACGATAACTAATTGTGCTTCAACTGTTCGAAGTGTTGGATTCTCCCCCTTCTGACAGTCACCGGCCTTGTGAGGTTGCAGGGGAGAAGGAGGGGAGTCCGAGGCCCCCGCCCAGAGAGCCGAGCGATCGTTCTCTTGATTTCGGGTCACTGCACTGTCCCCTCTGTTAGGTAGCACCAAACACCCCGGTCTTGGGAAACGTGCATGTTGGGTCAGGCGCAACACACACAAAAGAAACAGGCCCTCTGAAACCACTTTCACAGAAAACAATTGTGCCAAGGGGGACAGGGCCAGCTGGGTCTCCCTGTCCTTTCACGGGGGGGGGGGGGATTTAAAGCAGCTCTTCCAGCCACAGCAGCAGCACTGTGGCCAGGCGGAAGAGCAGCAGCAGCAGCAAGCACAAAGGACACACTTAGGGAGGTCCCCAAACACAACCAATCGGTCCCACCAAAACTGGGTAAGATTGTCCCGTGAATCTTCTCTCTGCCCCCACTTTAAAGTGCTGAGATTGAGCAACTGGGAAAGGGAGGGAAACGAAAGCTAGAAAGGGATGGGCGAAAAGGCAGAGAAAGGGAGGAGTGGGAGCCGGATGGAAGAGCAGCACCTGCCCCCACCTGGGGATGGACCCGGCCTCTTAGCCTCCAGGCGCTCTTGTACTGACTCGGAGAGGCAGAAAGACGACAAAGCGCAAAGCAGAAGCGGACCAGAAGCCTTTGTTCCACCTTTCCGTGTAAATATACCTCAGTCCACACCTTTGGGGGCAGCTTCCTCTGTGGCCTGTGTTGAAAAGCCACAGAGCCAAGGCTGCTTAGTGGTGGGTTCTTAAGCCGAACTTTCCAGGGGGATCTTTTCAAGCACAAGAGACGTGGCAGAAATCCTGGCGGGCAGAATCCGCTCTGAAGACAAGGACGATGGACCCGCTGCTTCCTTGCCCTCCAGCCCCCCCCTCCGGATATGCTTGCAAAGTAAAGGTCAACAGCCCCCTCGGGCCTCCAACCTGGAAGAGGAACCCATGCAGGCAGCAGTTTTCGGTAGGATACCTGAGCCAAAACATTATTCATATTATACGTATATAAATTCCTACATAGATAACCTTCTGTTTTAGCTTTTCCATAATGTAAATTTTCACATTTTTCTCCCTGCATTGCTGCAGATAAGTTAAGAAAATATATATATATATTTAACCCCCACATCCAGCTTCTCCCCAGTTCACAACAGGGCACAAGGTCCCCCCAATTACTCAAAGTGCTGACCAGGAGGTCAGCCATGAACACCGTTTTTGAGGGGAGGGCTCTCCTTTGGACAGCCTCATCACCCCTACCCCCCCCCACCCCCACCTGCAGCCTTGGACTGATCCTGGGATGGATACCTGGGGAAAAGGCCACCCTTTCCTCTCGAATGGAACGGAGACAACGGAAGGACGCCTCTCTTGCTAGTTCTGAGGCTCCCTGGGTCAAAGCGAGCCCTGCGCTCCTCACTGATGCCAAGCAGGATCTGGCAGGGCAGTCACCTGCTTGCCCGTTCCTTACTGGGGTGCCCCTTTTCAGGGAGGGGGCAGTGATTCCAGGCCAGAGACCCACCTTCCCTCACATACAATTCCTCCGGGGGGCTTCCTTCACCAGGAACGTCGCTCAGCCTTCCACACGCCCCCCCCCAGTCAGGTCCCTGGAATTGGGACAGGATCGAATCTGGGAGCCGCAGAGGCCCGGCTTCTCTTTATGCCGATGGCCAGATGGGGAGCGGGTGGGCCTCCGTGTTGAAGACGTACTCGTCCAGGTTGATCAAGTTCACGTCATCCGAAAACAGCAAGAAAAAGTACTTGAGAGTCTCGCCCAGGAAAAAGCTCTCCATCTTGTCTCTCGGCTCCGGATGGCTGGGGCTCTGGACGTTGTCGATGGACGTGTAGCCGCCAGTCGGGACCTGGATGGGGGAAGCCCAGTGTGAAATTCAAAGGCCATCAAAGTTCACCATCTTGGCTTGTTTGGGGCGCTGTTCATTCAAAGCCTGCTTGGCCTCAACCAATTCCCCCCCCAAGCTGTATTTCCTGCTACTGCGTTTGTGTGTGTCTCTTCCATTCCTCCTTTGCTCTCTCTGATGAGACCCCGAGCTCAGACTCACCCGGGTGTATTTATTGAAACTCTGCAAGATCTCCCAACCCCAATCCTGGTACTTCTTATCGCCGGTGAACCGATACAGGTAGAAGAAGCTCTCCACCGTCTCAGGACGCAGCAAGTTGTGTCTGTCAGCCGTCTGGGGAAAGGAGAGCAGAAGGGAAGCTGAAGGCGCCGGAGCCCTGGACACCCACACCCCGGGTGCCACCTGGATGCCCACAGCAGAGCGGGCTCTGAATCACGAGTCTCGCCCTCCGACAGGAACTCCGAGGACCAGGGCAGGGTCAGCCCTGCTGAGCTGCTCACCTTAATTTCCACGTCCTTCCGGTCCTTCTGTGGATGCATGTTGAAGTGGACGATTTCGGGGCTCAGGCCAGTCTCTACCTGCACGTACATCTGGTAGCAGGTTTCCGCCAGCTCCGCTGCCAGCGTCAGGTGATCTGCAGGGAGCCCATTGTGCGCTCCGAGGGCCAGGACTCCAGGCAAGAAGCAGACCAGGTGATCCTGCTCCGGAAACACAGAGGGAGAGGAGTTGGTGGGATGCCGGCTTCCTCTGCAAAAGCCTCTCTCCTCCGCTGGAGCTGGGAAGCCTCTTGGGCTGGGGCTGCAGGCACAGCGGGCCTGTGGCGCACCACGCCTGGCTGGCTCCCTCGCCAGCTGTCTTCCTGTCACGGCCCAGAGAAGGGGTTTCTTATTCAGAACAGAGGAACTGATATTTTAGCAGCGAAAGCGAAGAAGGGAGGGGGAAGATCTGCGGAGGCAGATATGAGCCCGAGAAGAGCATCTGCGGCAGGTGCTGGCAGCCCAGTGGGTTTCACGGGATCCGATTCTCCACGGGACTAAAAGGCCCAACCGAAGGGCTGAAAGCACAGCGCTTGGACCCTGAAGGGGAAACCTGCTTAATTAAGCAAGTCCATCCACTGCCGTTCAGAAACTGGAAGAGGAAGCACGACTAACTGCTCAACAACAGCATGGAGGGTATCTGGTTGCTGAAGAGGAAGCAAGAGACTCTGCCTTATTCCACCAGCACAGCCTCTCTGCTAAGAGCAGGATTGGGGGGGGGGGGGGAAAGGCACCCCTCCGCCCCCTCCCCCCATCCTTAAAAGAAGGCTCACCATCTTTGCACTGAAACGGCCGTGAGCGAGCTCGCCGACAAAGGTCAGCCTTTTGGGATAGGATTTCCGGAGCAGGTGCATCTTCACGCCCTCAACAGCCTTCACGTAGTCTTCCAGGAGCCTGCCCCGGGAAAGAGTGTGGCCGTTAGCGGCTGGGCTGCTTAAAAGTAGACTTAGCTGCTGGTAGCAAAGCATACCATAAAAAGCATAACGAAGGTCGATAAAGGACGCCAACCACGAAGGCATCCTTGCCTCATTTACAGCTATCTTCAGTCCATAAGCTGGAGAAACATCACCCATTGTGTTTGAGAATGGGTGTGTATGTCTTTGCCCGTGCACGGTTTTCCCAGAAGACAGAAACACAGCTTCAGGAAAGCATTCATGGGTGTGAGAAGGAAACAGTATTTCCATCCTGACTTCAAGTCAACCCAAATTCCACTTTGGTACAGAGCCTGCAGGAAAAGCCCTGGGATTCTCCACAGAAAATCCTGCTAGACTTCTTATGAAGGAAGGAAGGGAATTTTAAAAGGATTTACTCGTTCTCCTTCTTCCCTCCCTGGATCCACTGCTTCAGCAAATACTCGTAGTAGCTGTCAGCTCGAGCCCCCAGGGTGTAGACCCCGAGATGGGTGAACTGCCCGCTGTTGGTGTTGATAAACATGGGCACCAGGCCGTCGTTCTTCCCAGAGAGGGAGTGGACGTGTCTCATCACCCTGTCCACAGCGTTCTAGGAAGCAAAGAGGAAACAGTGGGGCTTTGGAACCACACCCAGGAAAAGCAGTACACAAACAGGGTTTTGAGGTATGTGTAGCCGCCAGGTCTCTGGGGGACTGGACCCAGTTCTATCCAGCCTCAACCTGTGGGGGTTACAGCATATGCCCTGCTGGAGCTACACCCCAAGAAGAAATGCAGAAAGCCTTTACTAGTCTATTTGGAGACAAGTTTGCGCCAGGCTTCCTTCTGCAACCAAACAGCAAAGAGTGCAAGTTCAGTACAGTAACTGACTATCCCAAAAGCTAAGGAAGTGTCCACTTCTTGATTAGACAGCTTCTTCCTCTCCATCCCTCCCCCACTCCTTAGCAGAACCGTTAAGAGGAGGGAGCCCAGCCAATCCACACCCCCCGTACCTTAAACTTCTCTTCCCCAGTCAGGCGCGAGAGCTCCCTGAATTCCAGCTGGATGCTGGTCACTTCGGCCACAGTGCTGTCAGAGGTCCAGCGTGGGGGGTGGGCTGTGCCCTTCCCAATGTTGACATCCGAGAAGGGGATCTTGGAAGGGGTGTTAAAGGCCGGCATGAGCCTGCCCCCGATATCTTTCTGAACAAGGGAGAAACAGCAGGGTAGGAGGGAGGGAGAGAGAGAGAGAGAGAGAAAGCCACCGACCATTTTTAGGTGCTGGGAGAGAGGAGAGGCCCTCTTGATCACTCTGAGAAGGGGAGGGGCCCACCAGAGGTCTTAAAAGGCAAGCAAGGAGCTTACCGCTTTTTCCAGGAAGAGGCTGTCCCCAGACAAGTGGTAAGTGCTCAGCAGGCCCCCGAGGATACGAATGGCGCTCTCAAAGAGATTGACATCCACGTCTTTGTTGAAGTTGAGCTCCCGGGAGACCCACTCTCGCGCTTCTTTGAACTCTGCATTGGGGAAAGGAAGCCCAGAAGCTCGAGCAGGAAAGGGAAAGCCTGCACAAGCATCTGCCTCCAGATCCCGCCTCTCCGGCCACCCCTTCTGAAAGAGAAGCCCCAGACGGTGTCCAGGCTCAGCTGTTCTGGCTGAGAAGTTATTCCTGGCTTCCAGACACCTCTCCTTTATTTGCTATACGCTGGGCTCCCTCCAAACAGGCGTCCCTCGGAGACAGCCCCCTCAACCTACAAGGATGGTGGACTGATGAAGGCCGAGAGAAAAGCAAGGAGCCCACTCGGTGGGCCGCCTTCTCCAGATTTCCCTGGCTGTGGGAGGAAGGCAGAGCAAGGAGACAGGCGAGGCACAGACCTGCCTTTAAGCCCAAGATCCACATGGTGTCTAGCGCATCGACGAGTGTCAGTCCGAGGCCAAACCATTCGCTGAAGGACTTGGAGATGGGCTTCAGCTCGTCGTGGCCCCAGGCAAATTCCTTGTAACCTTTCCACGCGTGGCGGAAGGCTTCGATCACAGCCAGCTGGCGTTCATTGAGGGGCACTGAAACAGGAAGGAAGAGACGTCAGGAGCTGCCCTCGAGGGAAAAAGCAGAGTCACCACCTGTCTCCGTCACAGGAAAAGGCCCTGTGGAAGAAAGTGTGGGCTGCCGTGTGGGCAAACCCCCAGGGCTGCCACCTCTGGCTTAAGCTGGGCCCTGCCCGCTACCTGGCTCTTTCGGGTCTTCGGACGCCACGGCAGAAGGCCTGCCTGGAGGGCTTATTTTCCTGGAAGGCGGCTCGGGGCTCGGGTTGGGCTCAATCAGGGGTCCTCTCCGACTGCAAAAAGAGGGTTATTGCTTTCCCTCCTTCCTGGGCGCTCACTACGCTACAACTACAGCGAAGACAGACAGACACTCCCAGTCGCAGGAGGGCGTTCTCCAGCACCCTCCCCTCAATCTGCAGAAATGGGCAGCCCCTGCGGGCACGGCCCCCGGGATCCGTTAGCTGTGGCACGTTCACTCACTAGCCGAGCATCCCCCCCTTTGAGATCTCATCTCTCCTACATTATTAAAACGGGCAGGAGTGCAAAACTGCCTCCCTGGGCTAAACTGAGAGAAGCAAGCGTCTCACCTAATGACAGGCTTATCCAGGTTATGCGCCTGATCCGCCTGGCCAGGTTTTCCCTCCGCTCTGTTAGCCTCCGTCTCCCTCCAAGGTGGCCGGATCTGCAGATTCGGAGGCCCTCGTCGGGCAGGAATCTGCTTCAGAGGTTTCTGGGGGGGGGGGGGGAAAGAACCAAAGGAATTGGTTCATAGGCAGGAACGGAGAAATTACTCTTAAAACCGTAACTGCTTCAAAGAATAGCTTGTAAAGGAGAATGCAGGGAGAAGGAAAAATCCCTCAGTTGTGTTACGAAGGCTTAAGGCGGGTGACTCAGTTCAGTCAGCAAAGGCCAGTCTGGGGATCCGTCCGGCTAGAAAAATCCCTTCTAGGTAGAAAGTTCAAAGGCCAGATTTACAAACAATGACGGCCACAGACAGCCGGGCCCTCTAAAGGCTGCTGACCCGCCCCTCAGCTTACCACAAGATAATATACGGGGGGGGGGAGGGAGGAAGGGGGAATTACTTGAGGTGAAAAGTCCCTGAGGCTGGCATCAGCTTTCTGGGGTATCGGGAGAATCGCCTGATTTGCTGGATTCAATCCAGGGATCTCCAGATCAGCCTTCTGCTCCTCCGAAGATCTGCTGGTGGCACCTGCACGGAGAGATTAATTGCCGTGAACCTGATGCAACGGGATGAAATCAGAAGCTGAGCGTATCGCTAAGGCTTAAGGTCGGTTCCAAGAAAGAAAGGAAAAAACACCAAATCACCCTCTTCTGTCAAATGTTCTGTTCCCACAATAAAAAAATAAATGCAACTAAAGCAATACTTAGGAATTTGGGAACACAATAGCCTGAAAAGTTGGGACACATTTTAATTTCTAAAAATATTTTGTCACAGTATAAAATCACAAAGCAGAATAGCCTTTTATTTGAAAATAAGCCCAAGTCACTCCAAAGACATACAGTGCTTCTGAGTGGACAGATACAGGATTGTGGTTTTAACTGTTTCAAAAGCAGCCGATTTCCGTTACGCAACAACAATTTATGGTAGAGAAACCAGGAGGCTTACTTTTCCACGGGTCAGCCATATTTGCATACGTCTTGATTCCACAGACAACCAGAAAGGCAAAGAGGAAGAGGATGATGCTCCGCTGAAGGCGGGACAGCTGCTTCCATTTCTGAGGGTGAACGTTACAATAAGCAAAAGGAAAAATCAGCCTGCGAACTCATCCTCTCACCACAAACTCTGCTGAATGCTGCCTACTTCCCTGTTATCTTTGGATGCCAAATACTACAGCAAGAGCACAGGATTCTGCTGAAATATTTATTTAATGCATTTGACTAACAGAGGAGGTGCCTCACAACAGAAGCAAAAGAACACAAACACTTCTGACTTGGTGATTGATGGCAGACAGCAAAGCTCCCTCTCCTAGCCTGAAGTCAACCCACGTCTCCTCCACAAAACGCCCCAGGAAAGCAGCCTCTGCTTCTCTCGTGCCCCTCTGCAAAGACCCGGATGTAGCCCCAATTCTCCTCTCAGCCTCCCGCCTTAAATGAGAAAGAAATTCTCACATACAATGCAATTCATTGGGTCTGGAGCAAGGCTGCTGCTTGACTCCGCTCTGCTTCTCCCGTCTTCAGTGGGAGTGCCAGACACACACAACCAGCTCTCCGCTAATTGTCTCAAAGGAAAAACTCCTTGGCGGATGAGCAACACCTCACTGTTACTTGCCACACCCCTAAATGCGTCCTTTCTTTTCTCGAAATGATCCAGTAACAAGAAAATTCACCTGCTGCCAGCCTCATCTACCGACTATACATTGGTGTTCGCTATTTTGGCAGGGAACATTTCTCTGAAAAACAGATTAAAACTACCTCAATGGAGGCAACGCCTACCCATTTCTATCCGGTCTTGATGGTGATTAGCTGCTTTCAGGCTCAAAGGCTGCACAGAGTTTTAAAAACTGTGTATTATTGAGTAACAGCTGACACACCCAGAGGCACCAAACTGGGGTATGTAAGATTGTGAACTCGAGGGATTCTTAGTCCACCCACCCTGTCCTTTAGTCTCAAAGAGAAGAGCGAAACCCCCATGTTCAGATGCAGTCTATCTCAGAGTAGCAAGTGCTGGAGATGCTACAGCTGCCAATTACCAGAAACACTTAACCAGACACAAATGGGAACCACGCTCTCTTATCTGCAGCAAGCGGGCGTCTTTCCAAACTGTTCTCCTCCCGGCTGACCCCATTGCGATCCAGGGAGAAAATGGGTTCACTCTGGTGGTCTCCAGGCCGAAAGGGAGGAGCCTTCCTGGCCTGTTGGGCCTTCCGCCTTTTCAGCACCGCCCCGCGGACAGCAAACCCGAAAGACCCCCGTCAGCAACCGCCAGCCCTGACTTGCACCTCCGGACACCTTCGGGTGTTTCAGCAAGGGGCCAGCAGGGCGGCGCCACCACCCGCCAGGCCCTTCCGCAGCTGCACCAGGCCAGGGAGGGCTCAGCAAGCTCGACCTGTTGAATTTCCCCCCCCACACACACACACCACCCCGCGGCTGCCCCAGTCCAAGGGGGCGGAAGGCACCGGTCCTCCCGCAGAAGCCCAGGCGCTCCAGTTCCTACCCCTCAGCCAGGGGGCGCGGGGCAGCGGCCGCTTCCCCCCCCCCGGCCTCTCCCGTCTCTCACCCGCCAGCAGGAACGCCTCCGCCAGGCCTTGCTGTTGTTGTAGCCGCCGCCGCCGCCGCCCGCCGGCTGAAACTGGCCGCCGCTCAGCGTGACCGAGATGAAATCCCGCCGGGGGGGTGAGAGGAGGGGCGGCGGCGGCGGCGGCGAAGAAGAGGCCGCCGAGTACATGGCGGCGAAGAGAGTTTTCCTTCAGGAGCCGCGGAGCTCCTCTCCGCCCGCCGCCATGTTTCTTCCTGTTGCTGTCCGCGGCACGGAGAGGGAGAGGCCTAGAGCGGCCACGCTGGGACGCCGCGTAGTCCCTCCCTTCTTGGCGGTGTCGGTTACCACAGCGCCCTCTAGGCTCCGCTTGGCGATGCGCAGGTCCTAAAGGGGCAGGGGGCTGGGGTGGCCCAGACAATGGCACGTGAGAAGCGAACTTTGGTTTTCCCCTCCACGTGGAGCCACCCTCAGCCCTGGGAAAGCGCCCCACGCGGCTCTTTGGAGGAATCCCCCATCCCCTCTTTCTCTTGTAGCCAGCCTGGTGTTTTCTACTCCATGCTGCCCTTTGATTAAGGAGGGTGCAGACACAGGAGCATCCCTGGAAGGAGACACATCGAGCCATTAAAACCACCGCTCCACCCCCCTCAATCTCCTTTGACCAAATCTCCTTCCTACCCGTTAAGAATGCTGCACATAAGAAACACACCTTGTCAAGGTTGCTTTTAAAAGTCATTTTAATATGAAGAAAATTCTCCAGGAGTTAAACACACCTTGGTTCTTGTTGATTATTTCTCAAAGTTACTTTTTTTAAAAAAAAAGAACTGCTTTAGTTTTTAAAAGAAATGTGGACCTTTTTTCCAAAAAGGAGCTTTCCAGCTTCACGCAAAGCTAAAAATTCAGCATTGCTTTCATCAAGAAGAAACGGAGATCGAAGGTTTTTGCCCCGCATATATTTTTCCAGCCCCTGCAAAAAAGAGTTTGACATACTGGATGTGAGGGATTGTTTTAAGACACCGCAAATGCTAGAATAAACCAAAAGGTGGAGGTGAGGTAGCAGTTAATGATGGTGGGGAGATTTTGTTTTGATTTTCTTTGCTTTCTGCAACAATCACAAACTGTCCTTATTTTTAAAATCAGTCCTTTTCTATCTACTTTATACACACTGTGGCTTTTTCCCATATCCACCTATTGTCACCAATCCTTTTAGATTTTTTTCAGGCAGGTAGGGGCCTAACCAGGCTGCTTTCTCCCTTTATGCTTGCTTCTCTGCCTTTATGATTGCTTTTAAAGAGAATGTTTGCAAAATAAGGGAAGGGTTCCTAGGTGCACCTGGCCTAATTCAATATTAGCATTCTTTATGTGCAAAACAACGTTTCTACTGCTAAATTCTGGCTCTTTCCATGTTTTGCAAGAAAAAAAAACCTCACGAGTAAATGTTTACAAAGGATTCTGCTGCCCTTATTCCTGAGAGTGCAAAAGCCAGCACAAAGTTGTTCCCTTTAGCGACAAATATTTAACCGTTCTGGAGCTCAACAGAGAATAGTTTCCTGACCTCTCCGAAGTAAGAGACGAGAGGCGAGATCTCACACACAGCAGGCGGTTCCTCATCTTGGGAGAAACTGGAGGAAAACAAAACCATTTAAGGCTCTCCACAAGTACGCAAGCACAACTTATGCTGGAGGATAATAAAGGCATCCAGATGCATTAAAGTGTGTTCCCCGGAATAACCTAACCTAGGACTGGGATAATAATCCCAGCAAGCTGCGATTCTAGATTTAAATACGTATCCAATTCAACTGAATTGCCATTGAACATGGAGGGTTTTTATATTAATTGTTAGCATCCAGGTATCCAGTAAATAGTTATAGTTGTTTCAATATCATCTGAGTCATTTAGATCCTAAAAATCAATATTGACTTAACTTTAAAACATTCCCATCCCGCTCACAAAATAAACGCTTTTCAGAAGGCCACATTCACAAAGCCCCGTTGGTTGAATCTGTCACGTGGCTGGTTCACACAACCCACTGAACCAAAACCCAACAATGACTGTGAAGCCAGGACTTGGCAGCAGGGGGGTCGGGTTGCCTGCTCAGCCCTGCACAGCCTCCGGCCCAACCCAGCCGATGAGCAGTGCAGGCCCACCTCTCCTTCTCCGGGATCGGCTGCCCGCCCTCCGCCACGAATCTGCCCCCCGCCTTGATGGCCCAGCGGTAATGCTGCGAGAGGAGCGAACGCCGCGCCGTGGATGGCGTGTCTCTGGCAGCCGTGTCCGCGTTCTTCAGGGGGGAGAACTCCTCTTCCCTCAGGACTTCAAAGGCGACAAAGTTCCTGTCGACCCAGGAATAAAAAGTTGGGTGCTTAAAATTGGCAAACAGATTAATTCTAGATACCTCGTTTTATTTGGCAATGCCAAGCTAGCTAAGCATTTGAGGCAACACCCCCATAACTGTGAATCGCCCTCCATTTCTTTATATTATTATAGATATTTGAGACACCCACAAAGATGGCTGTCACTCGCCACCCGTTTGCCTTGTGAAAGTCTGGCTCGGCTGCACAGGGTGGCAGGCACCCCTTTCAATTAAAGCCCCTGCACGGAGCAGGTTTACCTGCCACAAGAGCAGTTTTCTCCCTACACCTTAATGAGAACCCCTGATCCAGGCAGGACACCGCTGAAATAAGGAGAGGGTCCAGAGGCAGAGTGGTTTTTTATGGGGGGGTTGCAATACTTCCGTGGACTTTATGTTAATGTGGAAACTCAGATTCCTTGGAAGGCTGCAAAGCCCCCTCTCTGCCGCCCCCTCCCCTCCGCAGCCACCTAAAGGAAAGAGAAGGCGCATCTGCCACTAACTTGGCAAACGGGAACACATCGAACACAAACTTCTCCAGCTTTATTCCGTTGGGCTCCAGCGGCTGCACCGGGTTGCCCTCTTCGTCAACGTACGGCACTTTCTTGATGGCCACGTGGGGCGTCAGCTGCGACTCGAATCGCCTGGGGAGGAGAGAGCAGCATCTGCCAACGGGCGCTCCCCCCAGATGTCTTCCTAGCCCCAGAACTGTCTCCAGGAAGCCTCAAAGCAGGCCAGGACCATCCTCAGCCCAGTTGCGCCCTCCCCGCATCGAGGAGCAGCTGCCGCGGGAGACTCGCCCCCCCAATTTACTCCCATGCAGTCTGGAAACCTTTCTCAAAAGAGCTGATGGGGGAATGTTGACTTGGCTGTTCGGGATGAACAAAAAGAGAAGAAGAACTTTCTCGTGGCCTCAGCATGTGGTGTTTGGCAACTTCCTGGAAACCGTTTCATAATTTTAATATTGGGAGGCGTTTCTGTGGTTTGTTCAGACACATTGAGTTTTTTCCCCTTCTGAATAATACTCAGCTGACTGGCGGTTTGGCAGAGCGCTTAAACTACCCCCAACAGCCGTCTAATGCCCAGATGAAAAGCAGGCAGCGCTCTCTGGTTCTCCCGGCTGATCGAGAGCCTTCCTGGATCCAAGGAGGCACCAAGAATTCCTTTCCCTTCTTCCCTGTTGTTTTGGCTCCTGGCAAGCTCACCCCGCTCTTGGGGGCCCTCGGTGCTGATGGGGGCCGGGGGGAACTTACTCCGCTACCTCCCGAAGGAAATCGAGGCTGAAGAAATGGTTGCAGATGTTTCCTGCCCAGTAGGTCAAGCGGCCGTCAGGGCTGCGTTTCTCGGCCGTTTCCGCAGCAATCTCGCTGTACTCCACCACCTGGAATGCTCCGTCCACGCGACACACGGCCCCCACAGGCTCAGCGGGGTACGCTTTCTCCACCACCTGCAAAGACGACGTTAAGAGCTCTTTCATTTCAGGAGATTCGGCATCGAAGAGGCCCAGCGAAGGCTGCACCGCCCCTTTTTCACCTTGGCACCACAATCCGCCCCTTTCGAGACGCAAAAGCCAATGAAGACGGGGTCCGCCATTTTGACCAGGATGTTGTCCACGCAGTAGACATGGATGAACTGGACGCCCCGTCGCTGCATGTCCTCCAGGATCTTGTGGTCCACCAGGGCGCAGTACAAGCCACCATTGCCATCTGCAACACAGGAGTAAGCAAGCGCTTTCCACCCATCACCAGTCACCAAAGATGGTCCCATTTACCTTCGACTACCTGCAGACCGTGTGTCCATTATTCCAGGTGGCTCCAATATATGACATTCACATCAAATATAGTGCACAGAAATGGCAGAGTTTCCAAAGTTCAGGAAGGCCCACCCAGCTCTGGAAAAGAGCCACGCACCTGGCGCCATGGCGATCTTGCCCTTCTCCTCCAGGATCACCTTCCCATCCAAGGTAACAGCCGGCAGCATTCTCTGTTCAAACATGATCACGTTTGACTTGTCCAGGTTGAAATAATTATGATCCTGGAAGAATTTCTCCGTCGGCCCCAGAGTGAACTCACTGGTCATGATGTACCTGCAAGAGAAAGGCATCCAGATCCCCGTTAGTGGATTTCCCACCGGATCCCTTTCAGCCACTGCTTAAGCCATCAAGGGACCCACCAGGGAACCACGCTCTGGGAGCCGAACTTCTCGCCGGCCAGCTGCTCCACCTTGCGGATCCTCTCGGCCTGGATCTGGTAGAGGGTCTTGTGGCTGGGCAGGCCCACGTCGAACATGCCCTTGGGGTAGGGCACCCCCAGGCGCGTCCCTTGCCCGCCGGCCAGCAGCAGCACCGCCACCTTGCCCTGGGAGATCTGGCGGAGGCCTGGAGGATAGAAGGTACAGCTGGCACCAGCCCGCCCCTGCCCGGAGAGACCTTCTCCCCCCCCCGCCCTCAGCCCCTCTGGCCCCGGGGTGGGCACAGCGCCAAGCCATCGCCCCCCCCCCCGGAGACGCGCCAGCTCGCGGGCGCGCCCACCTTCCTTCTCCCAGCGCTGCAGAGCCTCCGGGTCGCCGCTGCGGACGCCGCCCAGCGCCTCGGGCGGGAGGGGCTCCATGCGGCCGTCCAGCTTCTCCGGGCCGGGCCGTTCTTGGCGGGCGCAGGCCTGGGCCGCCCGGCGGCAGTGCTCGGCCAGCTCCTCGGCCTCCATCAGCGCCAGCGGCCGCAGCAGCGCCTCCCGCGGCCCCGGCCCCAGCTCGGCCCAGAAGCGCAGCAGGTGGCGCTGCCCGGCGCGCTCCAGCCGGCCGAGCAGCTCCTCTTCCGGACGCCCCATGGCCGGGCGCGGAGGCCGCGGGGGAGCCG